AAAGTCCGGAAGAAAAGCAAATTATCGTACTTATAACAAGGGAACGTACCAAAGTGTCCAGCACCGATTTCGATGAAATTTGGCACAAATATAGTTGTACAAATACAAACCGAAGTGTTAATCACCGATTTTTGATGAAACTTGACATTAAATGTAGTTTTCAACAAGATATTTTACCCGTATGTTTTTCTTTTTTTTTTTTTTTTTTTCTATCGTCGATGTTGAAGTGAAACGAATCGACGAGAATGATGGCACGAAAGACATCAAAGTTGTGGTAAACTGAGCAAGACCTTTGTGCGCCAGCAATCGACCGAGCGATTTTAATTCAACCATCGCGTTTTCTTTCCACAACTTTCCACTCGGGTATGCTACGTGTGATTAGCCATGTATAAACACCGCGGTAATTGTTAGGTGTAGTTGCGTGTATACTTAAAAAGTATACGTAACGGATTGAAATTCGCGCCGGATTGTGCGGCCAATTCGGTTTCGATTCGTACGAAGTCGTGAGGCAGTTTACTCACCGATACCGGGAATATCCTGGCAAAGTACAGCGGCCATTGTTTGGCCATATCGACGACGTTTTTCTTGATGGTGATTTTGTGCTGAGTGCTCTGCAGATTGTCCAGGGTGATGCCGTAGTTGTCCAACATTTTCAGCATGTTCTGCCTGTCCTCCTTGGTGATTCGGATGCTAGACGTGGCGAGAACGTCGTAAGCTACCTGACAAAACACCAGATGAAGCGCCAGAGGGCTGTTGAGCGTCTCGTTGGGAGCGAACACCTCCTTCTTCACCCTCAGCGTCCACGTCACCCTGTTGTACGTGAAATGAGCCGTGGACGTTTGAGGGTAAAGCTTCGTGTTGACGACCTCCTGCACCTTTTCTATCTCTGGCTTGTCCGCCGGTGGCATCACCGGCCGCAGGAACTCGGGCCATTCCTCGATCTCGATCCTCTCCATCTTGTCGGTGCGATGGGTCGAGGCGACGCTGGATCTTCTGTCCATGTCGCCTCGGTCCAGCTTCTTGAAGCTTTGCCGAGCAGCGGCGAACGACTCTCTCGTGTTCAGGGGCATCAGGCCAAAGTCTCGCGTCGACGGCATGCCGAAGCTGTCCCTCGACTTCGGCGACACGTCCCTCGCCATTCCGAACGGGTCTCTCTTGTTCGAGCTCGTGTTCTCGAATATGTCTCTCGCGTACTTGGGATCGAAGATGTCGGAGCTCAAGTCGCGACGAGAGTCGAAGTCGGAGCTCCTGTCTCGGGCAGAGCTGGCAACATCCGTGCTGTCCTTCCCGTAAAACTCCTTGGACTTTTGGTCCTGCGATCGCGACGACTTGTCAAAGTCGTTTCTGTACTCGTGGCTCTCTCTCAGGTGCTGCTGGGACGCGAATATGTCCCTGCTCTGGCTGAACATGTCGCGTTGGGTCTTGGAGAAATGGTCGAACGCCTCGGAGTCGGGGGACGTTCTGAAGGAATCTCGGGTCTTCGGCTCGATTGGCACCGGCGGCGACCTCGGCTGCGGTACACCCGATTGACTGAGCAGAAAGGAAATTCCGATATTACAAATCGTAAATTCTTAATCTTCAACCGTTTCGCGCTCTTACGGATTTCGTGTTTCGAACAGTGTCATAGCGTTTGCTTTGGTTCGTAGCGCTCCTCTCCTAATTACTTTTTTGTTTTCAACCACGTGGACAGATGAGCAGTTTCTACTTTTATTTAGATACACCAGTCGACAAAATTGTAAAGCATCTTGCAAAATTACTGGTGCAAAAGTAATTTTCATCATATTTGTTATAAATAAATCAAAGTTATCTAATTTTCTGTAAGTTTAATTTAAACGAAAATAATACAATCTCACTTGGACAACATTACAAGATATTGAGAAAGAAAAAAAGAGACAAAAGTAGTTTCCATAATTGAACGAAATTTTCGAGTCTTTCCCAATGTTAATGTCCTCTTCTATTTCGTGTTACTTCGATCATTCAATTTGAATAATTCTTTTTATATAATGAAAAAGTAATAGTTTTTTAAACACCTAAAACGGCAGTAAAACGATCGAGAACGTCGAGTGAGGTAACAATGCGACAGTGACAAAAAAGGAGAATACCTATTGCTGTACATGCTTCCGCCTCGTGGACTAGGGGGTTGCGGAGGTGTGACCGGAAGCGGAGGTGGCACAGGCCTCTCCATTCTCTCGATCTGCGTCCTGACAACTTGCGCCTGAGTCATCATGTCGGTCGTGCCTTTCGAAGTAACGCTTTGCGTGTCATCAGCCGTGGATGCATAATCGTCCCATCGTCCCCCTTTAACGCGTATCGTTGAAGACATCATTGAAATCATACTTATCCTACGTTTTCCACTCGTAGGAGGAACGTTTCATCGTCAGTACCTAATTGCTGTTCGAGCAAAAGTTTCCTGTTGTCCTCCAAACGTTTCACTTTGCCATCCTCGCGCGGCAGGGCAGGTTTCTCCGTGGTTTTCGTCGATCTCACACTGTGATTCGCCGTCACCTTTTCCAATCGTTGCCTCATCTCCGAGCTGAGCTTCAGTTTCCCTATACTCCCTGGCGATGGCCTCTGTGCCCCTACTTCCAACGCGGACCTGCAGATGGAAACGCATCGATCATCGAGCGCGATAGAAAAAAATCACGCGAGTATGGAGGGAGGGAGTAAGAAAAAGCATCGGACTTTGACTTCTTCTTCTTCTTCTCCCCTTCCTCTTTGTATCCGTTCTCCACGTGTTTGGCGACCGGAGCTGGCGCGTGATTCGCCACCGTCTTCTCGTTGCTCTCCACGATGTTCTCGATCTCAAATTCCTCCCATTCGACGCCGCCCTCCGTGCTCGGCTCCCCCTCGCCCTGATTGTACTCTTGATACTGAGGCGTGATCTTGCGCTGCTGTTGCTGCTGCCTCATTTTGAACTCTATGAAGCTGTCCTGACTTTGGTTCTCGTTCGAGTCGCTCGGCGGTGGCCACCTGAGGCCAGACGAACGCGAGAGTTAGAACCTGATGACCAGCTGAAACTGAATCGAATGGTCGTAAGTTTAAGCTCGAAATCGTTCACACCTCCATTTGCCAATTCGGACGGTCTTCGCTCTTCCGTAAGGATCGAGGAAAGGCCTCGACTCCGAAGGGTCGTGCGACTCCAATGGCGGCGGCATAGGGGGCGGGGGTGGCACACCCCCCTTGTTGTTGCTCGAACTCGACAGATTACTGTCCACGCTGCTCTTGCGGTTCTTCAGCTCGCTCAGCACGTTCGTGAAGTTGTTCTGCACGTTGCTCTTGTTGCAGTTGGCTCTCTTTGGATCCGCGGCGCCCGGTGACTTCTTGTCACCGACCTTCCTGTCGACGCTGACCTTCCTCACCGCGTACTCCACGCTGGTCTTCCTCACGATTTCCGAGTTCTTTCGCGGCGGGCTTTGAGACCGATGGATCTGGGCTTTCACCGTCATCTCCTGTCGCTGGTTGTTCGCCGCCGATTGCGGCGTTCCTTGCTTCTCCGTCGACCAAAGTTCGCCATCTTCCGGCTCTCGGAACGACACCTAGCAATGTCAAGTTCTACTCTGTAATCCCGATAATTCTCTCTCTCGTTAGCTCTCGATACAGAGTTTTTTCGGTTTAGAGTTCGCGATTCGTTTATATAGTGTTTTTTTTTTTTTTTTTTTTTTGCAACGGAATTGCAAGCATGCTCGAAACGATCTCGCTCGTGCTCGTTTATGTACAGTGCCGTGAAAAATTGCGGACTCGTACGAACCTCGTGCACTCGCGGCCCAATATTTCTCTCTCGATATCGCGTAAGAGAAAGGCGAATGCAACAGGAGGATCGCAGAGGAAAGTGACTCATCATCGGTTGGATTTTTATCTGATTTTTGGACCGACGTGATACGACCTTCCAATATGTGAGCAGCTAGTAATTACAGACCAGTCATTGGTGACTTGCTGGTCATTAACCAATCGAAGAATTATCAAATGTAACGACTATCCTTCCGTTGATGCGTTTTATTATTGTGTCTCGATCACAACCGAGAGTTTCTTGAACCCACATTCTCCCACACCACTGTACCGCTCCACATAGTCGAATTCTTCCCACAACCAGTTAATTTCTTTCTAACATATGTTACAAGACGTTTCCGACACGTTGATCCATCAACAAATCGTTTAACACTACGACGACCAGATAGTTTCAAGCGTGACTTTCACCAGCGACTGGCTGACTTCCGACAAGAATCAACGAAATTTAATAAAATATCATTTCTTCGAAAGTGAATACGTTCGATGACTTGATTTGAGAACGAACGTTTCATACCGGAACAGTTGTAAAGGATGAAGGTGTAAAAAAAAAAAAAAAAGAATAATTGTTATCCGAGCCTCTGAGAAGCCAAATTGAATGTTAAATTTCTTGGAAAAAAGAAAACTTCTTCCATAAAGACAAAAAAAAAAAAAAA